CAACTATGGCAAATACAAGGGCTGCATTGAGTTTTCCACCTTCAACGACAAATTCATCAGTCTGTACAACTTTAAGAACGCGGTTGATATTAACTTGGAAAACCCTTGCAAGAGGTAAGCTCTTAACACGTGACTGGAGATATGCTGATGTACTTATAAGTAATAATATATTCACAATATAACCCATAATCACTATTGGTTTGCATGTACGTGTTCAGAACAGTGACTTCGAACATCACATTGAGTAAAATCCATTTCTGTTTCTTTTTGCTCAGACAAATCCCACTGACGATCTCAGAGTCAGATTATTATGAAGGCACCGGTTACGCCAAAGTCCTGCTTGAAAGATTCCCCAACTATCTGTGGATCATTCAGAAAGTGGAGACGAGAGCTAAGGATGCTCTTTTGCTGTATTTAGGAGACGAGGAGGATGTAAGAGTCTTTCATACACATTTCCCATTAAAGTAATTATTATTTTATTTAGTTCTTTTCTTGTTTTCTTCATACCCTATCAGGACTTTTTCTACAGCGTCTCTCTTGAGAAAGGTTACGTTGTTCTGCGTGGCCAAAACAAAAATAATATTTTGGAGACCGTCAGAAGTCAGGACAAGCCAAGTCTTTCTCCGGTAAGGACGAGCCAAGTTGACTTTTTGTCTTTAAGATGTTGTATAAAGTCACAGCAGTGACAATTAAATTGCACTGTCTTTTGTATTTCAGGAAACAGATGTGAAAGTCTTGATTATTGCAGGAAGAGAGATTAAAGTCCGAGTCGGGAACACCGAGGTCAAAATGACGGACGTCATTCCACAAACGTTCAAGCACTTCTACGTCGGCGGGATTCCCAACTCTTTGCGTGAGAGGTCCGTGTCTTTCTGTATCACGAACTGCACTTTTTTATTACTTCATAATGTTCTCTGAGGTCTGCTTATAATGCTAGCAAGAATGTTGCACCCATAAAAACATCATAATTTAGAAGTAATAGGCAGAGCTGGGTAGATTACTTACAAATTGTAATCCGTAACTGATTCCAAATCACATGACAAAAATCGTCAGTAATGTAATCCATTACATTACACATTTTAGGTAATGTAATCAG